CATCCATCCTGATGCTGCCAATTGGTCCAGTGGTGAGAATCTTCGTCTTCTTGACATGGAGCCTCAATCCATATTGGAGGCTGCAGTCCTTTACCTTCTGCAGCAGGTGCTTCAGGTCCTCTTCAGTTTCAGCAAGCAGGGTTGTGTCATCTGCATAACGCAGATTGTTGATAAATTGTCTTGCTTAGTAGTATACAACTCAGAAAGCTGAAATAATGCTAAGGACGGAAAAACAACAACATCCACTAAGGAGTGACCGTAATTTGAAGACGGTTAAATGATTCGATCACTTGTACTCTCAAATTGGGATCTCGATCTAGGATTCTAGTTCACAGAAACTGCATTGCTTATAGAGATCAATGAGAACATGTGTATTAAACAAGCTCTTTTTCCTGCTGTCTCTTTCATGAAAATGGAATTATGGTGGGATTTGCTAAAATGTGTCAGGTAGTCAAACACCGAAATCCTGAAAGTCCAGGTAAAATAACGTTTATCTTGCTAAGTATGTGTTTCAAGCTCGGATTAGGCTGGTAGGAACCAGTCCTCGTTTCCAGAGGAGCACCGGGTTGGATTCATTAAAATTATGTCTCGCTTAGAAGAAAGTACTTGGCAGAGAAAGCAGAGGCGTCTGGCGACAGTGAGCTAGTTGCCGAATCTGAGAGCGAGTTTTACCGATCACCTAATAAAACAGTTGACAAGACTCCTAACCAGACATGGGGGGCAAGAAGAAAGCGGCGGTAAAGGCCTCCCTGGGCCTAGTTATCAGCTCCCTCCATGCCTCTCTGCGGTCACCTGGGGACAGAAGGCCTGGCCGGGCTGGGTCGACTCAGGACGCTGTGGCGCTCCGTCCAGGAGGGGGCGGAGAGCAAGATGGCGGAAGCGCCAGAGCCCGCCCCGGAGAGGCGACAGCCGGCGGAGGGAATCCCGACATGCCGCGCGGAGCCAGGCTTCCGGCTGTGGGCGGTGCGGGGGGCGGCGGCGGGAGGAAGTGGGCTGAGCCGGGCTCGCTGATCGCTCTTGCACTTCCGGGGGCCTCGAACCTGCTTTTGTACATTCCCAATAGGTGGCGCGGAAGGGGAAAGAGGTTTCGGGGGCCGGTCGGGGCGGATCCTCTCCTGCCTACCTCATGTGAGCAGTTTCTTGAGCCCCCGTGAGACGAAAGCTGTTCCGAGAGGTGGAGCCGGTGACCGGGCCTGGACCATGAGGCAGTGTCTCTTCTTCCTGACCAGTTGGGTTCCTTACGTGCTGGCGCCGCGACCTCTGGTAGACCCAGGCCATGACTCCCTACAGCGACTCGGTAAAGACCCGGGAAAGTTGGTTTAGATAGAGCTTGCTACTTTGAGAGGAAGAGCTGGGGAGCAGCGTCTATCAGGTGTTTGGGGGCGGAGTATTGGATGATACTACTCCTTAACTTTTCTGTGTGAAGGTGTGAAGGGGGGTGTGGCTGAGTTTAGGGAAAGAATAAAGTAGTTGACGTTGAAATGGTCCTGGAGTGGTCTCCGATAGTGACTAGGGCAAGGAATAGATGTGCACTCAGGAATTGGGGAACGGACATGGTTTGGGGAAAGATGCTCGTGTTTTATCAGAGAGGTGTTGTAAAGATCCCGATATGGGACATACCTATATCGTGTGTTCTACTAAAAGACTCACCTGGAACGTTAGGATGTGGATAATGCTCCAGAGCTCTTCCTGGCCCTTTAGGAGCGAAGTGAATGTCTGCTATGCAGAAATCTGGTTGGAAGGCGGTGACGGGAGAACGTGCCGTGAAGGTGCATTTTGCAAACATTATAAGCACATTGTTAGTTATTGAAATTGTTGCGTATTGAGAGTGGTCATGGCGGTATTAAAACTTGTCAGTCCAACTCATGATACTGTTACTGTGAAAGTGCACCTTGTATGTTTAGACAAAGAAGTTGTCAGAGATGAAAAGTTTTGAGCTTAGAAACTAGTGGGCGCCTATTAGATTTTGTAGACCGATTTTATTTTAAGGATGGACGTACATTTAGAGATATTAGGTGAAAGACAACGTTTGTTTAAACTTAGGGTTTGTTACGGCCTTTTCTGTTTCTGACGTTGACATGGAATACAGTTTAAAACTCATTGCCATCAGATTTGAACCAACCCGTAACTGACTTTCCCTTCGATTTCTGAGGCTGTAAATTAACGGGAGGCGATTTCCCATCTTTCTCTTGAACATCTACTGGTATATTTGAACTGCTGGAGACTCGGTCTTTAGATTAGGCATCCCCTCAACTCCCTGTGACCTGTTAATAAATGCATCCTCTCAACTCCCTGTGACCTGTTAATAAATATGAAACTATTTTATCTTGGTATGTGAAGTTGTAGCCTCATGATTTTTCATGGTTGTGTTTTCTCTCAAATTTCGTCATGACTCTATTTATATTACTGTGCAGATTGAGACACAGTGGGGATTTTTGGACAAGGGTTTTTTTTGTTTGTTTTTAATTCTCTGGTTGCCATGAGTGGGGACTAACCCAAAGGCAGGTGGTTTGAATCCATCAGCTACTGCTGGAGGATCAGCTATGAATCGATTCTGACTTGACAGTAATGAGAGTATTTTAATGGACTGAAATAGTAACTGTCTGTTAGGGGTATTAAAGGTGTTGAGCATTCTCACCTGAGCACCTGCCTTGTCTTAAATGGAAGTGAATTAAATATGTCAGCCCAGGGAGCCTGTTATTATTGTTGTGTGCTGTTGAGTTGTAACTGACCCATAGCTGACTCTCCAGTGGGTTTTCAGAAGCAGTGACTCACAGGGGAGGAGATTGCCCGTCCTTTTCCTGTGGAGCAGCTAGCGGATTTGAAATTTGGAATTACATACAGTGCAGCTTCTTACCCCTAGACCACCAGAACTCCCAAAGGAGCCTCTTAGAATGTGATAATACATGATAATAGACCAATCCACTACCGTGGAGTTTATTCTGATTCATAACTATCTTCTATGGGGATTCCAAAACTATAAATATTATAGAGAACAGACTGCCTCATGTTTCTCCAAAGGAAGGGCTGGTAGATTTGAAGTACTGACTTTTCAGCCCAGAATGTAACTCACTGTAGTAACAGGGCTCCTTAGGAGAGATGTGATAAAAAGTTAGTACAAATTGAAGAATTTTGCTGTCAAGGTGGTCAGGATTGACATAGAGGATGAGTCTGCTTTACTTTAAAATACATCTTAAAGAATAAAAATGTATTTCAAACTCACTTCCACAGAGTTCCCACTCAAAGCAATCCTCCATTGGGTTTCCAAGGCTGTATATCTTTTTTTTATTCTTTTATTCATCTCTGTTGCTTTTTTTTTTTTACTTTTTAGCATTTGCTTGCATTCATATATATTGTGTTTCATTCATGTACATTGTTTCATATAATCATTTATATACATTGTATTTTATGTAATTACCATTGATCTATGCCTATTATCCTTTTTTGATGCATTCTTTTTTATTCATTAGTTGATTTCTTTAAGGGCTGTATATCTTAACAAATGGCTACACCACCAGAGATCCTTAAAAATAAGTATCTGGAGATACAGAAATTATATTTTCATCATGCTAACACAACTGCTTCACTTATCAGTATTCTGTTCACATGTTGTGAAATTACATGATCTCTTAGGGTGGCATACAGTATAGAGGAAAAAAATAATTTCTTGATAATTTCTCGACAATATTTGAAGATCCTAAGTATTTATTGTTGCTCATTTTCTTTTGCACATGGGTGTGCAAAGGGTGGACCATGTATGCCAGAGTAATACATAGACCTACGCACTTATTAGTAAGACTTTTCTTCTGCTATTGGTTGGATCTGAATTGATGGCACAGCAACAACGGCATAAGGCTCCATGACTTATTTGAAGAACACATACAAGGGTTATACATGATACTGGAAATTGGAATAGGGATTTATATAGACATCCAGACAGATGATTTTTAAACAATACATTCTTAAACAATGTTTATAGCGTTGGAAACCCCATAGAAGGTAGTTATGAGTCAGAATAAACTCCACGGCAGTGGATTGGGGTTGTTGTCCTTGTGTACCTTAGAGTCAGAACTGACCCACAGCTGACCCTTCAGCGAGTTTTCAGAAGCTGCTAATCACATGGGAGGAGATTGCTCATCCTTCTTCCCTGGAGCAGCTAGTAGCCTTGAACCACGTGACTTTGGGATTGCAGCACAGCTACTTCCCACTAGTCTACCTGAACTCCCTGTTAGCACATTATAATGGGCTAAGGAAAGTGTTAGCAGTATTAGGGCAGTGTTGGGAGGGGTCATAAATCCTAGCCTAGGAAGGCTAGTGAAGGGTTCTTGAAGGAAGTGATACTTGAGCTGATTTTAAGGCAGATGAAGGGGGTGGTGGTGGATAAGGACACTCCGGATAGGGGTGCCTAGAGACTGTTAGAATTAAAATGAATCTTAGAGATCCTGTCTAGTTGTTGTTGTTTTGTATTGTAATTTTTTTTGTAATTAGAAAACAAACTGCGTGGTGTTTTTAATTAAACAATCAGGGAAAAGGAATTTGAGAAGCTGTAGGGAGTTGTGAAGTTCGTATAGCATTTTCTGGTTTTGACAGCTCAGCATGTAATTTGTTGCTTAACCAGACCCTATTGTTTTTTAAATTATATTTTCTCTCCATTCATTCATTGTTGCACATTTTCCTCCCTGCCCGTCCCTCCCCAGACCCTATTATTTAGATTAAGTTAGTGAACAACAATTAAGATTAGTTTCAGAGTTAGAAGAACTTATTATTTTTTATTAATCTGTTTGCCCTGTAAATATTAATAAAAATT